CTGCACACCAGTTCTGAGTGCTTACAACATTTTCTTTTTAGCAGCTTCTCCTAAGAAAATTCAGAAAATGGGGTTGTTTGTTACAGCCTTGTGATGCAAAACAGCCTTTTGTCCTACTGTAAAATGTATCCTACATAAAAAATCCTGTCTCCAAAGCAGCCAACTCTCTCTGCCTTCTTTCCAAGAATACTGTGAGCACTGCCACTGTGTATATGCACATGCTTTAGCTGATCCTGCCTTTCTGAAATTTCCTGGGAATTTAAGCAGTTATTCACTTAAAATATTTTTTACTTCATCACAAAATGAAAATAAGTAAGAAAATCTCGTAGACCGTAGAAGGACCTTTACTATATGATACCCTGGACCCTCTTGGTAGTGTGTAACAGATGGAAAGTTGTTTTTTATCAGTAGAAGTAAATCTTTTCTCCAATAATGTGATGTCTGTAAAGTAATGCTTGCTGTCTGTGAAAGAAAGTCTGACAATTTCATTTATAGAAGCCTGTCTGTGTGCAGTAGAGAATAGGCAAAGACACAAATTATTTGCATATAAACCAGAATATTCAATGTTTGTGAATGTCTGTAGCTCAGAATGATCACTAGATGATACCTTCTCAGTACTGACAGCTCAGGGAAGCAGGAGACTCACTCGGCTTTCACATCAGCTGATGGCTGGACATGTAAAGGGCATCAAGAAGCCAGGCAGATTTTGTGTAAATGCTGGCAACACCTATGAGGAAAGCCAGGAGGACTGGAAAGCTCTGTAGGGCTCCCTGCAGGGCTGGGGCTGCACTCTTATTCCCCAAAACATGGGTGCAATGCTGCAGATGCAGACACGGAGAGGTCATGTGTGCACTGGTGTCTGAAGCTAAGATCTTCTGCCAGCTAAGTGGATATCTTTTAAGGACTTAATCCTGTAACTAATGAAGTCAATAGGAGATTATCATCTGACATCAATGGGCTTGGAGTCACGTCCTCAAAGATTAAAGTAATCCTGTACTAAGCTTTCAGGTGGCTTCTGCGGTTTCACACCTATATCCTAAAAAGTACGTGCCTTATTTTACTGAATAACTCTGTTGTTGAAACAACAAACTTTTCAGCAAAAGTCTTAATTTTTTTTAGTGTTTCTGAAACATTTTGTCCTGAAACTACTTAGGGAAATATTTATTTAACAGGTTTTTGTAGCCAGAATGCAGATTATTTGGTACAAATTTTCTGCAAATTTGAATTGAAATAAATTTAAAGGGTTGGCTGCATTTTTTATGAGTATGTTACATTTTATTTTTTTTAAATATTGCAAAATGAAAATAATTAGTTTTTATTTACCCCTTGGCTTCCTTCTGTTTTTTTCCAAGACAAAGTGCACCTTTTAAGTTGGACAAAAGATCAAAATGGCAAAATTCCTAATTAAAGTGATACACAGATAATCGAAAGGATAGTACACAGATAATATAAAGGATAGCAAATTAAAATGCATTAATGTCTTTTAAGAATGTACGGGATTAAGGAGAAATTAGCAGAACAGGCTGTCTTTGGACTTGATTTTTCCATGCAGAACTAATCTTATAAATGCCTATTTCATGGATGCAATTAGAATTAGATGTATGAAAACTCATTTTCACCAGAGTGCAACTTTACACCTGTGGAATTACTTGTTCATATTTTCAGTGTCTCCATTTTGCATAATTTTACAGGAAAAGGGCCTTGTTTCTCAAGCCAAATTAGAGAAAATGTGTACTGAAAAGCTAAATTTCATCACGCGAGGGCTATCATTCTGGTTTTCAGTTAAGGCACCTGATCTCTGGATTGCAATGGGTAAATTTGTGATAAGCACAGTGACTGAAGGGATTTCTGCCTTCCTCCAGCTTCAGTCTGTTTGTGCCTGAGCTGTGTGAGGCTGGTACTCCGGGACTGTAAATGCCCAGCTAAGACACAGTGCTAGAAGTCACCATAAAATAACAACATTCTGTGCAATGACCAAAAGATAAAAGCCTCAGCCTGCTGGGAAGATGTTGATGCACACATCTGTCAGGCACTTCCAAAATTAATAAGCACCTGCAGCAACCAGGGATTGCTGATGTTTTCTGTGGGTCTAGAAAGGAAGAAGCTGCAAAACTAAATGTGGACAAGTGAGTGAAAGAAGGAGATAAACAGAGGGGTCTTGTCAGTGACACAGAATTGATGTTCTTATTTATACCTAACTTACACTCTGTTTGCATGAAATAGAATAACGTGTGAGGATTTAAAGGTAAAAAGGGTTTGGATCTGAGTCCCTGTCTGTTAACAGAAGAAATTTATTCCCAGAAGGGGAGGTTTTGAGTTAGTATTTCTTATGGGACACAGTAGAAAAATGAGTTTACTGTTTTTCTGAAATGGAGTGAAATGATTTGGAGCTGATTTTGCATAACATCTTTTTGTCTCCCTACTTATCTATGGAGTAAAGATGTTTCTCCTTATATTCCCGTAATATGCCTTCTTTCTGACCAGAGGCATGTAAAAAGAGAAAGATGAATTTCCTGTCCCAAAATAATAAAGCAGGGGTTTAACACTAGCAGGCATCAGGGAGAGTCATGTTTCTTGCAACAGGTAGGTTTGTTCTCCTTCAGCAGCAGAAAGGCTGAAAGAATGTACAATGTGTTGGGAACAGAGAGGCAGTATCTTTGAATAAAGGAAGAAATGAATGGAATAAAAGATTAGGGGAGAGAGACACAGAGACAGAGACAACTTGAACACATACATAAGATCCCTTCTGGAGGCCCTTATCTAATTGCCTCATTTATCTAGTTTCATTTATAAGCTCAGTTTTATTCTGGGACACTCTCGGAGGTTGTGTGAGAATGGCTGCAGAATGACCTAACTGGCAACAGGCTTTCTACAGACCCTTTTTTTTTTTTTTGTATACCAATTCTCAGGGCAATTACTGCAGTTGCCCTTTTTATATCAGCATCTTGGGTGGCTAGGCCTGGGGTTTGCTCACTCTTTTTAATAGTATAATTTCTTTTGATAAATAAGCAGCTAGGATTTTTTTTTTTTTTTTTTTTTTTTTTTTTTTTGAAAAATGAGAATACTTCTTTTCCACTGGGACTTCCTATGAACATGTGGGCTTAATGCAGATGCCTGCTTTCACACAATATAAAAGATGATTTAAAAATGAATCAAAACAGTTTCACAAACTATCTCCCTCTCCCTCAAACCTTCACTTAGATTATTTCTTAATTTTGAATTTTTTATGGAATGACTCAGAGCAGATTTTTTTAAAAATAAACTAAAGAATTTTGCTTAAATTTGAAATTGATTTTCTGGGTGCAGCACAGTCGATGTGAGTTTTTGCTGTTGATTTGAATGAGGCCTGGATTTAATTCTTAGCTCTTACTGAATTTTTATTTTCAGATTTCACTAGTAAACTAAATTTTCATTATTATTAAGATCTAAACTCCAATAGCATTGTTTTCTGTTCTCTGCATGACTGTGGCATGTATATATTATTGTGAACCTCCAATTTAGGTGCCATCTGTGGTATTTTTTAAGGCACTAAGCAGTGAGAAAAGAGCTATCACATCTCCCCAGCTGGTTGTTGAAAACAAAGTGTCACAGTAGAGTTAAAGTTGGGTTTATTTTTAAATATATTTCATTGAAGAAAGTGTTAAAGATGTTATCTCTGTCAGATATTTAAACGTTGCTAAAATACTTCAGCGACTTTCTTGCCTTGCTGATTATGAAGAGTGTAATAAAACCGTGCTATGTGACAGATTTAGACAGCTGGCTCATTCATGAGAAGTTCACATTTTTGTCACCCATGTTGAATAAGGAAAGATTAGATGCTAAGGTCAATTTACAAAAAATGGTTGTCAGGACATTTTTTAATTGTAGAACTTTTTGTGATGGAATTCAGGGAAAAGACTAAAGGCAGAAAGCAGCGGAGACAAAGAGCTGCTATTAACCTACAGATGCTACCACAGGGTTCATTTTAAGATTGGTCACACTGCTTAGCCAATGAAGTGTTCGTGTGATTACAAGGGACCACCCTTTTCTGGGGTGAGAGGGCAATTTGGTCTTCATGCTCATTTAATCCCAAGATGTCTTTCAATGGACTGTCAGTTGAATCTACATTGTGCAAAATTATGCATGCACTTTTTAATGCAGACCATTGTTCTCTGAGCACTTAACCAAGATTTCTCAACCAATTTCCATTGGGCATGAGGTCACTCGAAACCCAGGCAAACATATATGGAAGGCAAATGTAATTAATTGTCTGTTCCTCGGTGCTGGAATGTGTGAGACACAGAAATGCAAGTATCAGTTATGCTGTAATTTCAGATTTAATACTCACTAAATGAACACTGACAAATTCCTATAAAGGAAAATTTGTTGCATGCTGCTGCCCTGGAGAGATGATTTTACTACTGGAATGTAACATGGTGAAAGTCTTTTAGATCTGTTTGGCTAAAGTGTTGTCAATCTTTGACGCATGAGCAGCTGCTTCTAAGGACCACAGGATGTGCACACTGCGGCTGCTCTGCTTTCTTAGGCAAGATTTTGTAAAAGCTGCAGTAGGTAGTTTGCAGGTAGTGCAAAGGAAACCTGATAGCTGGTAAGCAGTGAACAAAGAAACTGCCAGTAGAGCCAGAGATAAGAGGGCACCAGTTCTGCAGATACATCTAATTAATTAATACCTTAGAAAACCTGACTACAGCACGTACACCACATTTACTGATACATTTACAAAGACTTGGTTTTCTGCTGGCTCTCCAAGGAACACTTGGAACTGCAATAGGCAAGAGCTGCTGTAGGTTTTGTACAAGTGACACGACGTACAGGCAGCCCGTGCTCATGCGAGCCCTCGCCCCGGCACGCCCCTGTCAGTGTGGCATGGGCAGAGTCTGCCTGTGTATCACCTCTTGCACTGTCCTGCTACAGTGAAAATCACTTCATGCACACTTGAAACACATGCTGCAATTTTATTGTGGACGGTGGGCATTTGCTTTTTTTTCCTCATCCGGTGTAAATGAACACAAAGTTGACACAAGGGTACATTTCTAGATTAGATCCACAACACATTGAAGCGTGTGTGTGTTTGCTCTCTCTTTCCCAGTCTTTCCAATTACCTTGGTGAAAAATGTAACTTTAGTATTTTACAGGACATGGTAAAGCTGTCTCATCTAGGTGATGTCTATATTATAAAAATAAAATAAAATAATATAAATATGTAACATGAACCCAGTGCCCATCGTTAAATAAAATATATGATAAAAAGCAGACCTTCTAGGATGACTGGTTTTGAAATATGCGAATATAATTTAATTATTAAACACTTGAAACAATCTTGATATTAAGCTGCGATAACCAGATTTTTGCATCTATGCTAGATAAAGAAATAACATTCTGTAATAGAGTTACATTGATGAAAGTGAAGGTTACAGTCTTACAATGAATTGCCTAGATAGGAATGCATTAAGCAGTTCTGAAATATTGTCTCATGATGGAGTTCAGTCTACCTCAGAAACTGTTACAACTGGATTTTATTAAGTCCAGCAGTTTATACAGCGATGTTTGGAAACTGCTTTCTCACTGCTATGATCAGATAGGTACAGGAACGAGATTTCTGGGATGTCAAAGAATCCATTAAGACATCAGGAAAGTCCTTTGACAGAAATGTGTTTTACAGTGGAATTGCTTTGTAAACTATTTCTCATGAAGAAATAAATATTAAAAAAGATTCCACTCTCTGCAAAACCGTATTTATGATAGCGGCTGCGTGTGTATGTGTGCACGTATTGCAGGAATATTTACACACATACAGGGGATTTTTCTGCACATTGGTGGACATTACACTTAAATTAATAAAGTAAATCAAATCACCGGTGTTTGTTGCAGGATAACAGTCTTTCAAAAATGACAGGATTCAAAACAAATGCCCGTTGAAAGTGGAGTTTCCAAATAGTCCCAGAAGCTATACAATGTAGCTGGTTAGATCCAGCAAATAGGATGTCATGTCTAGAATCTGATCCAGAATACCTGCCCTTGTCACTCTTCGGATGTTTCTGTCCACTTGTTCACACTGGGGGCCGAGATAGCCTTTTTTACATAAGCATTTGTTGGGCCTTACACAGACACCTCCATGTCGACAGGCTGGGTCACATTTTGCTGTGGGGGAAAAAAACAGCGATTTTCTTTTGTTTAGACCATCACAAACCAAGAAAAGTACAGTACACATTCATTTAGAGCTTTTCTAACCTTGTAGTGATAAAGCATATAAACTAAAAACAACATAGAAAGGATGAAATATTAGGAGTGTTGAAAGCATCTTTTCTAAAGTTTTAGAGTATTAGGGGGAGGAAGTAATTTCGTATATCTGTGAGGACATTTCCTGGGAAAGACTGATAAACTCAAATAACAGATTTTTTTGAAATGTCCAATTCCCTTATTCAGGTTTCATTTCAGAATCTCAGGCAAACTCCTTTGTATACTCAAGAGTTCTGCACTACACACGTGCCTTAGCAAGGCATACTACACCTGAGCAGTGCACCCAATGCACTCCTTTGGCTTTTGAATCACTTAATGCTGGGACCAAAATTCCTTTTGGAGAAAAAAGAGCCAGAGTGTTTTTATTTTTATCAGTTATATAAGTTTCAAAGTTTTCCCCTCTCTTTAGCAGACGCCTGACGATTTATCTATAGAATTCTAGGTTAATCAGCTTGCTTCAGTCTTTCAAATATAGCTCCTATTTTAAATTGTAGCCAGTGTTAGCAAGATTAATAATCAATAACTTTAGTTGTGGAAGTATTTTCTTCTGGAGTAGTCACAGGACTGTGATATATATAATGTACATAATATATCTTTCTTTTTCTGCAGGTGTTATGCTGCTTAATATCATCTATTGCAATGAACTTTAATATGGATTTATGGATATTTATACTACTCTAAAGAAATGCAGGTTTTCTTGATTCTATCCAAGAGTTTCTTAACTACATGAAAAGGAAACTCTTATCTTGTAAGGTAATTTTTCTTATTTAAACTATAATAGCATCTTGAGGTTCGACTTTGACCATCCCTATTAACTGTCGTGTGGGATACAGGGAAGGAAGATCCTCAGCCTACGTATTTTCTGTGGCTTTCTTGCTCATTCTGTCCATCAAATCATCTATCATAAAGCTGTGATTTTTAAAACAAAACAGGTTATTCAAGACCAATTTATATTCACGTTGGAGGCATTTTTAACTTTTATGTTCCACTTGGACAAAGGCTGTAGAATGAGCCTCATTCTTTAAATGCAGGACGGCTCTGGAAAGTGAGGACAATTGAAGTTGGGATGTTTGGCCAGATTAGCTCATCCATTTCTCTAACTGCCTTCATTGCTGGGTTGTAGATGGTCAGCTCATGAATCTTTGTCAGTAAGATACTTTATTAGTGCTTTATTAATTTCATTCCAAAGTCACTTCTGCTCATCACTAAAAACCTGGAGGTTGCTGAAATTTACACTCCAGCCTGTAAGGACTTCATAGCTGATACTGCTTCACCAGAGCCCTCCTAAGTGCCCTTTCAACCTGAATTATCCATGATCCACTGTGGGATCCTTGTTTTCCCTTAGTCCTTGCTATTTCTTTGAGTTCTACTGCCACAATATTAACTATTAACATCTCTTTGTGTGGGCATCTGGTCAAACTCACTGACCAAATACGCCCAGTCAGGGGACTCTGCTGATGCTGAGGAATAAAATCTTTGTAATAACATCTCCTGGTACCCAGGCTGGCTCTGGAACATCTGCATGGGCCAAAATGACACAGCTCTGAGACAGAACCACAGCCTCTGAGATGGTGATGGCACAGCTGTGACACTCTAAGCTTGTTCACCTCATCCCTTGGCTGGCACACCCATCATCTTAGTTCAGTCACAGTCACTTTTCCAAGTGACTTTTAAAAGCTAAAGCAACAAGATGGGACTTGATGAAATCACTGTAATAATGGATCACATTAACATTGATTATTTGCTGTTTTGTGATATGTTGTACAGAGAATTCTCTTCAACAAACTGGAGCCATTTCGTTTGGTAGGATCAAAAACAAGAATGTGCCAAAACTAAAAAATATGCATTAAATTAGTGATGTGCAAAAGACGCAAAGGAGACCTACAGTTCTTCTTTACCATCTTTTCTGCCAAGTCACCTCTCTTTGACACTGACAGTGATAATAGTGGAAGTGGAAGGTGAATGTCCAAACACAGGACATGTAGTGACTGCATCTACTTTCATTTGAAAATCTTGGTGGAAAAAACAAGAATATTTTTGTCATGTTTACACTATCAATTGCATTCTGCACAGGCTCACAATGCATTAGATGTTTTAGCAGTTGCATTCATCTAAAGACTTACTGTTCTCCTGCACCTCATGAAATAAGTATTTTCTAATATTGTCTTACAACTGAAGGCCAACATATTGGTCAACATATACTGAAAATTTCTCTGAGCAAATAATTAAAAGCCAATTATGACATGTCACTGCTTTTTTCACTTGTTGCTGTGAATCTGTATACAAACCAGTTCTGCAGAACTCTCCTTCCCAGCCTTGATTACAGCAGCATTTTCCTGTGGGAGTGCAGTGCCCATTCCGACAGTGCCTTGAGCATTCAGATGTCAGTATCTGTGCAGGCTGAGCTGTTCTTTTGCATTCTTCGGGGACTAAAGGCCTGGAAAAAACCATGCAAACCAAACAAAGAGTTAAAAGTTGTGATCAAAAAGAAAAATTTTGATTTTTAAATTAAAGGCCTGATTCTCTGTTGTATTATCAGTGGGAAAAATCAAGAGATTTTTTTTTTTTCTCAGAAAAAGAAGTAAGCCCAAAGATGATATGTTACAGGAAAATACAGTACAATTTGCTATTATTTTATGTAACTGCCTTCAGAGATCTTCCACAAGATTAAGCAATAGTCCTTGAGAATTCTTGAAGCATGAACCTGCCAAAACCAGCTAATTGAATAGGAGCATCATGGAAAATTAAGTTAATTAATGACAAATACAAAATTACTCATTCTGTAGGAAATCATCTTAACTACTGCATACATATTAAGCTTGAAATGAGTAGAAAAAGATTCTAATAGTTTAGTGGAGAGCTTAGAGAAACCTTGGCTAAGTGTCCAGCTAGAATCCAAACAAACCAAAACAAAATTCTATGAGAGACTAGAATAGAATAGAATAGAATAGAATAGAATAGAATAAGACATTGCTCATTATACTGACATCAGTACTAACACCCCAATTTTATGCAAATAGCTGGAATAGCAGCTTGTGCACTGATTACTCTGTCACATATTAAATTCCTAGACTGATACTCCTGTGCAGAGGAAAGGATAGTTTTTGGGGTCTGAGAAAGAATGGGTATGATGGAGGCGTACAAAACGGTGACAGAAGAGAAAGTGGAAAAAAATTTGGCATTCTTGTTTATCTCCCATTTCAACATCAGAAGAAATATAAAGGGAAAAAATAAGCTAAAGAAAATAAAATTAACTAGCTGAACTTGTGACTACTAAGATATCAAAAGATAGATATCTTAGATGATGCCCATGTTCTACTAGGATTTTAAATAGATATTTCTGTGTGCAATGGCATCATTCAGAGTAATATTAGATAGGGTAAAAATAATTTTTTAAATATAAGCATTCATAGCTAAGTCCCTCACTAGCTGACTGGGCTTACATTTTCCCCTCCCATTTCGACATGCATCTTGTTAAAGGTTCACTACAGGGTTTCTTGCATTTTTCCTTGAAACAGAGTAAAACAGTACAGACCCACTGGTTTGTTTCAGCACAGCACTTTCTCTGCTCAGTCTTAATTACTACCATGATTATTTAAACATCCACAGACAAGAACTGGTTCCCCAAAGATGTTTAGGACAGAAAGAATGTGTAGGTGCTTCTTTAGCATAGCACCAAGTCCTGATTTCCAAAGCATTTCTGAGAATCAGACTGAAGGTTCTGTATTATTTAAGGGCTTTGAAACATATTTTGACACCTTTGGTGCAGCATATTTGAAACCCTTTCAGTTTTACTGTTTACATATTTCCACAGCTGTCTTTTAAATAGAATGCATTATTTTTTTGACCTGTAAGGAATTCCAGTTCTTTAATGAGCAATGAGTGCATTACATATGTTCTGGTTAAGAAAGTTCCTACGCTTAAAAAATTATAAGCAATATTCACAAGCAATGCTGTTTTGGAAATGATTCTAGAAAATAATATGATTTTCAGTGGAGACTTGTTCAAATTTAAGGTAAAAAGATCTGTCTTCTAATTCCTACATCTGGAAGAAAAATCTACATTTGAAATTATTTCTGTATAGCCAACTGCACAGGATGCAACATTCTTTATCTGTCACTATTTAAAGCTCATTTATTTCAAGTTACTTTAAATGGGAGGCTTCTCTTTCTCTTGCTCAATCACAAGTACAGTACAGTGTTTAGCAGGAAACATAACCTCAGGCTCCTTGGAGCATCTCTTGGAAAAGAGCTCCAGTGGCATATCTTTAGCAAAGAATGACCCTTAAGTCACAAAGGTACTTTACTTGGGAAGATAATGATTTATTTTATTAATAGATGTGCAATATTTGTCTATGATAGTGCTATGATACATGGTTCTTTTATGCAATTAGGAAGGCAGAAGTCACACTTTTTTGTATCAAGCTGAGCATGGCTGGTCACTTTTATGATTTAAAGTTTTCTACGGCTCTTGGTACTTGTGAATATAACCTTGCCTTTTATTCTACCATCAATCCAGAACCTGCACTCATCAGCCTTGGATAATATTTATTAATGGTGGGGTGGAGTAGAAACAAAGATGGAAAAAATTCCAGTTGGCAAGGTGCCTTAGGAGAAGAGGAATACAAATGCAGCTGCAGCGGAATCCTTGCATGTGAGAATCGCTGGTTTTCCTGAGCTGTGCTCTGGGAAAAGCCACACTTCTTTCTCAGGATTCGAGTGCTGCTCTGGGACCAACACATGTTGAGAGAAAGCCTCTGCCCCACAGCGCTCACACTTTGCATTCTTAGGGCTTGGAAGGGGTGGAAACGTTCAGGCTCAGCACAATGGAAGTGAGTCTCACAAAGATAGCGTAAGTCCTGAAACTGACTGTTGGGACTTGATCTCTCCCGCACTTAGACAGGACCATGATTTTGTTTATATAACCAGTGCTTCGCTGTGTCTCCTGACGTGGAAAATGGAGGGGAATAGATGGAGCCACACTCCAGGCTGGAGAGAATTTTTTTCCTTGTATCCCTCAATCTATAAAACTCTAAAGGGTACAGCTTGATTACTCTTACAGTAAGCACTATTTGGTCCGCAGAAAGTCAGCCAAAAATGTAGCTGATAATGACTATTTATATGGTCTGTACAATTCTAGTTATCTTAAAGAGCTGTTCATATATACAGTACAGTACAGTATATCTTTCTTGTTAAAACAGGCTTTCATGAAACTGTATAACAACTCTAAATGTATGGAACATGGAGGAAAAGTTGTACTGGGGGCTGGGGCCTCGCTGGATCCCTTCGCTGACGTGTGTAGTAAGCCGGGAATTCTTGACTGTGCAATGTGTAAAATAATTTTTGCTGCCTTACCATAGCTAGTAGTAGTAGAAGAAAGCTGCCTCTACTTTTTAGAGGCATATAAAAGTCCAACATGCTTTAATAGATTAAAACTCATTCTGGCATAGCTCAGGACTTCATGCTTTCATGCATCTCTTCACAGCTCCACTAAACACACAGAGTGAGTTAGTTGCTGTATGTGGTATCTGTTACTCAGATGTGCATAAATCCATGCAAATGCAGGGGCAAGCTCTGCAGTAAAATAATGGTACTGAACAGAAAACAATTCCTCCACCAGGCTTTTGACACAATATAAAAATTCTCTACTTCCCTACTAAAGCGAAGGAAAAAAAAAGGCATACAAAATTCCTGGATGTTCAGATTTCAAAGAGGAGACACTACTGTAGAAACCTTGATATAAAATATATGGAATGGTATGTTTCAATTACCTGCACATGAGATTTAGGTATTAGAATGATACTTAAGTATATCACCAACATTTGTGCATCAGTTGTTGAGGTTTTTTCCTTTATAAGGGAAAATGTCAAGAAAAAGTAATTTTGTTTCACTCCTTGTCATAACCTGAATTTACTGCTTGTCATAGAATAAGCATAGCATCTCTTCAGGTACAGCTTCTAAAATTAAAAAGTATACCTTTAGTCCTGGGAGAGATGCCAAAAGCTCGTTACTTGTCTCCAGATTTACTACATGGGAATAATGTGGAAAAAACTCACGGCTTTTAAGATTTAAACTCAGCAGCATATCAAATTTATTCTTATATGGTATACTTGTTCATGACCTCTAGTCTTAAGAAATTCTGTCATGTTTGAAAACTAGTCCCTAGTGAAGCCTGTATCAATGTTAATAGCTAAGAGGTCAATGCAACTGCTAAACAGTTTGTATTACTGTCAGGGTGGTCATGAAAACAACACCTGCTGCATGAGCACTTGGCAGCTGGGTCAACAGGCACTGTGGGAATTTATCAATTTAGGGGGCCACTTGCATAACACTTTGACTGATGAATTGGGAACGACTGGCTTACTGGGCTAAAGCTGCTCTATTATGTGTGACTTTCTTTAGGATGGCAGAGGCTTCCTGCAGGCACCAGAAAATAAGCAAAAGATAAACTCAGCTGTTTTTTTCCTTATACAGCGATAAAAAGTGAGAATTCCTTAAGAGCCAATGCTAGAAAGACTTTAAGAAAAGGGGAAAAAAAATATAAAACCAAAACAAAAACTTTTACAGTCAGTGAGCTGTGATGTGATTGAAAAAAATCCTTAGGTTTTTCCATCGTGGCTACAAAGGAGTTTTTGTGAAGTACTTCTGTAAAGTGAAACTCTCTAGACTGGTATTTGCAAAAAGCTCTAATTTCTCTTTAGTGTCTCTTGTGGGAATAGTAACTGCATGTGGGTAGGTAAATGAGATAAGACTTTTGCATGCTCCGGCTAAACTAAACATAATTAGACATTAATTCTGGCTTTCCATTCCATCAAATGACTTAAGGGATAGTAACTTTCTGAACAGAGAGAAATCATATGGCCCACCTGGGTTGGTGAGGGCATTCACCAGCAAAATTGGCTCCTTCTACAGAGAGTTTCCAGTAGGAGCTTTGGAGTTTATCTATAACCCATCAGAACTGAGTGTCTTGATGCAGATTACTCTAAAACTGTGTGTTTCCATTTCCACAGGAATTGAAGGCTCAAACAGAGCTTCACTTTCATAAATGCACTTCTTCTGTCATACCACCAAACACTCCTGACTCACGTTAAAAAATCAAATCACTAATGGTTTTCTAAAGAGCCTGAACAGTGTCAAAATGAGGTATGACCTAGATATTGTCCCTTTGTGTCTGAAATCAGTCTGTTTGGAAATGCTTTCCGACAGCGGAAATCCCGGAAGGTGATGATGGAAAGGATGATAAGTGGAATTATATACTCTGGAGGGGCATGAAAGAGGAGTGAGATGGTTTGAATCAAGTTCAAGTTTCAATCCAACGGGAAGCGGCTATTCCGGCTGTTGATATGAAACACATTGAAATCCAGATCTATAAGGTGTTACAAGGAGAGGAAGAGGAAATCTTCTTCTGTGTGCAGGAACACTTGCTCAGGCTCTGCCCTCCTTCATAAAAATCACCTGCTGGTTTCAGTGAGCCATCCTGGTCAAAAGTTACTCATCCCCTTTGGAATCACTGTATGGATGGTGGCAAACTCTTAAAGCTTCACAATTAAAGCTTCATAGCACATCTTTTAAAAAGAAAACTTTTGCATTGTCTGCCACTTCTAGACGCTTCTCTGGACATCTTTCCTTTTATCTGTAATTTCCTTAGAAATTAAAGTGGTCATATTGTAAGTACTCTAAAAGAAAACTTACAAAGCCTCTTTATGACTGTTCTTCCACCATACAAAGTTTATTTTCTTACTTCTTGGTCTAGTAATAATGTTTAAATTACAGAGTGTATGGACCTATCAACAGATCTTACTTATTGAAATATTAATTTTCGCAGTTGGTTTTCTCCTCTCATCATGCTAGAAAAAGGATTGCTTTTTCTTTTCTAATGGGTTTGTCTCATATTTTCTCTATTATTGACTAACTGGAATCTTTTGAGCTCTATACATTTTCTACATCACTGTTTACTTAGTTGATTTTTCTTTTCAGTTCATCAATACTTTTGTGATTGATATTAGTATGTATTTTTAGAAACAGAAAACATGACAGAAAAGTTATAAAACAGAAAGTAGAAAACTGAAAAATAAAGAGGTTTTGGTGTTTGGTCACAAAAACAATTTATAAAATGCTAATATTTGCATTGACCTTCAGGATATCTGACTAACCCTACCTTTTAGTTGAGAAGAACATAAGTCTTTCTCCCTGTATCTCCTCACTAGTTCCAATACCTGGAAAGTAGTAGTAATGGGTTTTTTTTATAATGGTCAAACAGTGGAAATATTTTTCAGAGACAGTTTTAACTTAAGAATGTCTTTTAACTGCCAGTTTAACTAATGTGCCCAATGTTAGTTTTATGTGCCTGTAATTTTTAATGTTTCCCACATCTCCTCCATCTTCAAAGCTAAATATGCTATTGGCTATACTCATTTGTCTATGGGATATTTTTGGTAATATGTAGTACACCTATATACTTCACATGCTTAGGACTTTTTTTTAATCACTTCATTGTCTGTGACCTCTCAGGCACTAATGTATTATTATAACGACCTTTTTACAAAGAGAAGGATTATTTAACTCAGTGCTTTTAGTGGGGGTCTATTTAGTTATTGATATGAAGTATTTGGAAGAACTGAACAAAAGTTTTACTGTGGTACCTGGAATTCTGTATTTCAAACTGCTTTGATAATTGTGGGATTCAGAACCTCTGTGTTGATCATGTTCATTAATTTGTCATATTCACCTCAGTTTAACACCTCATTTCTGTTACACTTGAAGGATTCTTGTAGGATGGGACTTTCCCATTGCTGAGTGTTGAAGACTAATGCAAAGAGGTCTCTGGATTACCCTCATCTTCTGATCTCCTAATGTTTTAACCTGCCCATCTAATTTGATTTCTTTCTGTGTCCAAGTAATAGATTTCTGTCTTAAGCTACATTTGAGACAAGAAAAATAGGAGTCATGATTATGTTTGATTCTGCAGTAGTTTTCTACAAGGCAAAAGGACATGGCCTCAAGCTGTGCCAGGCGAAGTTCAGGTTGGAGATCAGGAAGTATTTTTTCACTGAAAGGGTTTTTAAGCATTGGAATGGACTGCCCAGGGAAGTGGTGGAATCACCATCCCTGGAGATGTCCAAGAAACACCTGCACATGGCACTCAGTGCTGTTTAGTTGACAGGGTGGTCATCTGTCAAAGGCTGGATTTGCTGATCTTGGAGGTCTTTTCCAACCTTAATGTTTCTATGATTCTAAAAAGATCAAAAGAAATAAAACCCTGCACCTTCATGTAACATTTATTTCTTAAAATAAAATAAAAAAATTTGTAAGCTTGCAGCAGCTTACGAATGACCACTAGGAGAAGAAGGTTGGGTTTGCATGGAATTGTTAATTTCCAGCAAGCGACTTCTCTAAGGCATGATAATTTTGTTCTTCTATACTGCCCCAGACATGGAAGATTCTCTTTGCAAATTAACAGGTCTGCAAGAGACCACCTCTCACAGGGGTTTTTTAGAAGTAATGAATTTATAAGACATGACAAATCAATAGTTGCATGATTTTATTATTACCTGTAGCATCTTTACTTTGTGTTCTATGAAGCTTAGTGTGGTAGGGTTTATGTGAATATTTGTTGTATTGGTGTGGTGCACACCACGAGGCGAAGCAACAAAATATTAACATGGAAAAGAATATTATCTTATAAACAACAATAGTTTTTACTAAAACTTTACATGAACATTTGCCAAAGCCATGGAATTTTTAAGTTTGCATGGGTGGTATGAACTTAGCATGGAATGGTAAATACATCTGCAATGCTCCGTTGTGGAAGTCACTCATTATCCTTCTCTTAAAAGCTGCAGTGGTGTGAGACTGAAAGACAGCAAAACTCAAAACTTTGCCTAAATGAAAATTATCCTGTGCTTCTGAGAAGTGTTACCAAAAATTACATCCCTTTGCCACAGTCTGTTTAATTTCAACTGTGTGCCAATTTACAAAAGTATTTTATAGTTTTCTGGTTACTTTCACCAGTAACCAAACACAGTCTTGACCCTTTTCCATGCACGAAAACAGCCAACCATGAGTGCAGCAATGGGAGGTCTGGCCTTTCAGGTATGTCAGCTGAAGACCACCCTACTGGAAGAGGTAACAAGAACAAAAAGCTGAGGTCAAAAAAGGCTGTCCCATGTAATTAGATACTAATAGTGGATTTAGGGTGTAAAATTCACTTAAAACCATACACCAACAGACTAAACAATCCCAGAAAGAATGGGAAGTTTTGTTCTAAAAAAATGTCTTCAATACCAGAAAGCATAAATAAAACATACATAATAACCTTGACTGACAGACAGCACCAACCTGCAGTAACATCTGCTTCCAAATTATTTGTTGTAGTTTTGGAGTAGTACAATTATAAAACACTGGAAGTCCACTACCCCTGAAATTCTACTCTAACCTATAGAACAATGTGCAACCAGTGTCATCATTTTCTTGTTGTATTCCCTTGTTATCCCACTAACAATGTTTAGAATTTAAGTCTGACAAGAAAATAAATTCCTCCCTTAAGAGCAAAGCCAAAAATGAAAGTTTGACTGTATCTGATACCCATGGAAGAATATGCTGAAGAAGATGCTGAACAAATAGGCAGCTGCTTTTGTAGGGTACGATGGGGTCAAAGAAATGATAAAAAATAAACTTCACTTCTGTTGGCTGTCTCATTGTGTGTTGATTTCTGATACTTTTGCAGGATGGATGTGCTATTTTTACATGTCAGAACCTGGTCCGATAGAGCAGCAAGATGCATCATGAAGAACGTGGTACTTCCCCAGCTAAAGTGAGTATCTATCTGCTAGTCATCAGCTCTTATTGCTGCTGGGGCCCTTGGGGCATGTTGGGAACTGGCATTTTGCAGTCCTTTCAGATTCCTTAATATTTTCATACATCCAGCTGCTCTGCAAAGATCATGCCTTGAGGAACTTTGGCTTGATAATTTTCATTTATCCTCATTTACAACTGGTAAATTAGTCTGAATAATTAGAGCAATCCTATTAATTCCATGTCTTAGAAGTCACTTGAGTGAGATTTGTAAGCCCTTTGGAAGCAGTTCTTTACGAAATTTAAAGAATTTTGTGTATTTCTGGCACAGAGTCCAAGGACAGAGGATTTCCCTCCTTGGTGCTCCAAGCTTGCTAAGGGAGAGATATGTAATAGAAGGGGTATGGAAGGAGTATGTTCGATATTAATAAGCAGTGACAACTCACACCTACTGAAAACTGAGTTCTCTCTGTTATTGTTCATTGGTGGTATCTCCTGTACAACAGAAGAGATATTTGGGAAAGAATGAATGAGTCCCTTTGAGCTTACTGTGGCCAAACTGACCCTGGCTAGGACTGACAGGTTACTTTCTGTAGTTGCTTTTTAGTACACAGAACAGGTTTTGTCACCCAGTGCTGATCTTTGGAGGCAGCTCCTGTTGTGCCTTGTTCCATCACAGTGGCAGGTGAGGAAGCAGCAGCACTGGGGAGAATTCCAGCATCTGCCTTCCACAGATGCTGCATAACTTTCTGTGGTACTTACAAATCATCTGGCTACAGAACTACCAGGAGCATCTTCTAACAGTAAATATGGTTCCATATTAAATAGGTCTACTTCTCTATGGAAACATGCTAAGAATATACATCTAGGTGGGAAAATGGGCAGCTTTCAGCACAATGTCAAAGTGTAAAAATTCCCAGAAGTTAGTGCTGGTTACCCATCTGCTGTTCTGACATTCACTTCCTAGGAGACAGTGAATCTCTTCTGCTTGCTGCTGCTGGAACATTTGCTTTTAGGAAGCCCCATGCATCGGGAATTTTCCTTTTTATTGAACAACAGCATTGCATAATTCAGCCACAAGAACAGAACTGCAGTTACCTTCTGGTTTTTAAGCTACTGAGGGAAAGGCTGATCCCAAAGAAGGGTGCAATACTCACCTTTTTGGGTCAACGATCTTGTAGAGTTTTCCACTGTGAGGCTGTGTCATACTTTTACTGCTTGATAATATGTAAATCTCACCTGTTAGGGAAAACAGTGCAATAAATTACTTCTCCTTTCCTAAGATGTTAAATACATGACTTTTGTGATCTGGTTGTATTTGCCAAATGAGATTTTTAAAAACTTCAGAAGAAGCACTAAAATATACAACAGAATCATTTGCTACTTGAAAATTTATATAAGCACTTTCCCAAAATTGATGCTAAAATGTGAAAAACATTCTATCATGAGAGTTTTTTTTTTCATATAGTATGGAATTGATTAAAAAAATTAAAATGGTGAGGAAGGGAGAAGAGGGGTCAGTGTGCTCATGCAATATCTTTGCCCTTTAATTCCGTAATGCTGGAAATAAAAGCAAGTATTTTATACATTGTGCCATAGTGAGTGCCACAGTTCAAGCATGTGAGACACACTAACGATTTTTGCCCCTTCCAGCAACACATTCTCTTCTCAGTTCTTCCTACAAGGCTGCTGAGGATGTAGCTGAGAGCACTGTAGACAGCATTGGCAAAGGACAAACAGGCTTCTTTTCAAACATTTACTATAATTATGAATACTGCTGCAGAAATTACTGATAAGCCTTATAAATTAGGAAAAATTCTTTTAGTACTTACCCAATTCATCTTCTCCAAATCCCAAGACAGGGCCTGAAAAGAAGCCTCTACATGAGCCAGTGTTGCCAAGACAGAGGGGTTTCTCTTGCCACTGTTTGGTTGCAGGACTCTGTTGCAGTGTTAAAAAATTTCTACATTCACAAATACATTAAAAAAAAAAAAAAAAGTTATATTACATTTTGAACAGAGGGTTTTCATTGTCCAGATAAATAAGTAAACACTTCCTGCAAGTAGCTTCATAGATACATCTGTGCAGTTCCTTGTCTTACGACTTCCTTTTCCCAAGGATTAGGTATGTTCTGTATGTCACCATTCATTAGAATGCTGTCCTATTTTATTCCCAGATCTAATCTGCATTACCACGCTGCTAAACTGGCCAAGTGACACAATATACAGGACTGTTGCTGTGGCTTTATACAGGCAGCTGAGTGACTAAATCCACTTCACAGGCATTTCTGTTTAGGAGTGAGCTGTGCAACACCTACCCATTGCGGTCTCCAAACACATAACTTCCATAGAGCCTCTCCGACTGGCAGCCCCGATACACAAATCCACCAACCAGGGAGCCGCTGCTAAATGGTTTGAATTCTAGAAGGGAGGGCTCACTCTCTGAAAAGGAACTACCATAGCATTAGATCACATGCATTTTCATATTGATGCACATTTAGGAAAATGTTACTGCTTCAAGAAAAGAGATTAATTCCATTTAAAGATTCTTCAGAATTCAAGATGTTTTGCCAGAAATGAGATGTTAAAAAAAAAAAAAAATCATAAAATTACAACAAAGACTGTTTGTGAAACAATCCATTAGAGATTTCAAAAGGCCCTAATTGCTTTCTTCTATGCGCACAAGCTGGGAGAATAAAACTACATAAAGATTAGGCTGGACTTCCACTGAAACCAGTATGATTACTGCTATTAATTTCTACATGTCAATCCAGTCTGCAGACTGGATCTCCTGAACTTCAGGAACAAAATAACCCCCATTTACTGTAGAGTCCAGTGCAGAAATTCCAGTGATTTTCAGTAGAATTAGTTTTGAAATCCTTTCAATGGTTTGAGAAACTTTCCAAGGCACAGTTTTAAACATGGTATGTGTGTTATATCCCATAAAACACTACTATTACTGGCTGTACCTTCTCATGGTAATTTATTTTATGTTGCTATAGTAGTTGCAATTCCTATACTTTCTCCCCCGCTTTTTTTATTTCACAAAACCACAGAGTTTAGTCCTATCAAACAATTCTTCAAGGAAGTTCCAGTGTACATGTATCCTACTGATGCAATCAAATACCACTTAGGGTACAAGCAGACTCCATTTGACATGCTAGTTGCATAATTTTAAAAAAAGCCACAGCCAGTCAACCATTTTTAATAGGATTTTTTTTTTTTTTTTGGTCAGAGGGCTATCTGCAAGCCTTTGATAAATGCATTTCCCAGATTGTTCTACATGAGATACAGCTGAAAATTTATGGGGGAGAAAAAGACGATGAACTCTTTTTATTGTAGCCATTGACCCACAGCCTAGTATTAATATTGGCAAGCTGCTGTGGATATACACAATATTGCTTAGTTTACTCTGCAATAAGGATGCAGTCAAAATTCCATTGGAGCAGTGGTTAACCAAATATTATTCTTTGGTTTGGCTTTTATAAAATGGACACAGAAAATCCATGCAATAACTGCAGTAGTTCAATTGCATTATGCTGTTGCATACTGTTGTGCCAGCCAGCACAGCTGCTTTGCTTTTAAGGGAAGTACAGGTGGGAGAACCTAAGGATGTGATTAGATAGGGAAATGCTACATTCCAGGAGACAGGCCAGTTCTCAACGCCTTTACACACCGTTGGCATTTATCACATGTTACCATCAGGAATTTACAAGCTGCTAAATGGGCATTCAAGGCAGGTGATAGCTCAGAGGAAGTGTCACCTGGCTTGCCTGAACTAGCAAGGGATCTTGGTGAGCACCTGAGTTAAACATCAAATTGAAATTGTGACTGGTAATCATACTGATTCAGAGAGAGCATGAAGCACTTTAATATTCTAAAGTCCCTAATTGAGTGTATTTATCTTTTTGTAATCTAATCTAAACTAGTAATTTATTCTGAAGTAGCAGCATAGTGCCTTTTTCTAAGTTTTTTATTTTTAGTAACATTTAAACAGAGCTCAGTCATTTCCCTGTTTGGTTGTGGTCTGCTGTTGTCTATCTCACTTTTTCCATTATAAGAGGCACATTACATGAGGTTTCCATTCTCTGTCTCAAAAGGTTATTTGTGAAAGACTAAGAATACGTTTTCATCATTTCCTGATATTCCAAAATATTCTCTTTATGAGCCAAAATATGCAGCAACAGTGAGATCTTTGACAGACTAGCAACTGTCAAATTTGTTAAATCTTATTTACATGATACTCTACACCAACAAGAACAAAGTTGAGTCATTTCAATTTGGTTTTGGCCTGCATCTTTTATCCGCTTCTACATCGAAGATTTCTTTTGAAAAGATAGACATTTCTCTTCTATCTCAGATAAGTTGTCTATCCTATCTATGCTGTAATTTTCCTATCATGGCTATACAGGCCTTTACATATTCTCTTCTACTTTCTGTTTATTATTCCATGGAAATAGAACCTGACTGTTGCCAGCTTTAACCTGGATAGAACTTACCATAGTCTTTGCCCTTTATTATTTGTAAGATCCTTGCTGAAGATCTGTTCTTTCCATTTGAATCTGAACAAAGTATAGTTAAATTGATGTTTACATCTGTTGGGTGCCGGTCCACAGCACACCTTTAAAACCACAAAAAAAGAGAAAATCCATGAGTTCATAACATATAACTATCAATATGAAGCATTACATTTTAAAGCATTATTATTTCTTTGTGGTACCTATTGTTTCATTTGAGGGACCTATTTCATACTGAGCCAAAACACCTGAGAAATGCATTGAACTTATATACAGGAGATAGTACAAGTTTCCCATTCCCACACATTTCTGTGTCATGTGAAATAAAACTATTTTTCCCTAGTGATGTAATGTAGTCTGCAATATAGCACCTGAAAAGAATAATGCCTTAAGCTAAATGAACTTATATGGTGTAGGGATTTTGGGCTGTTAAAAAGTCCTATAATCAAGTCCTTATCTGAACAACTTGGCTTCCTATTTTTTTTTCAAACCAAGACTTTAAAAGTCACTTCAGTACTACCACCCACCTAATTTGCTGAATTATGTGTTGTTTAGTTAAAGCATTGTTCTCCTCCTTGCTATTGTTTAGATATCACCAGATGTTCTCATTTGTTTTCCACGTGCCTTTTTTCCCCAGTCAAGATTTCCATTTAAGCTGTACTTTACCAACTTTCTGCTTTTTTAAGCTTTTTCTTTCACAAAGGTAGTAATTTTATTACTAATTAAAGCTAAAAATTCTGTACTTTGTTTCTGTCATTTTGGTCTTGACTTGTAGTAGTTTTGCATGCTCTTCTCTTTCCCCTTTGCCAATGTACATTTGTTTCTAACTGTGACATGTGTGGAGGTGGAGGAGTGGAAGATTCAAAAAGTTCACGAGTGCTTTTATTATTGAAATATTGCCACCTATCTGAATAAAAAAAAAAGCCTTGTTAAAAATAGTGTCTGCTCCCGAGTAATTTCAGTTTAGTTGAAACTTACTTACCGGCCTGGATTGTGGAGTCCATGTGCAAAAATCTCAGGAGGTTGGTTGGTGCTGTTGAAGTGTGGGTTGCTCCGTGGGATGGAATAAGGGACATTGCACAGGTCAGTATTGACATCAAGGCGCAATACAGAACCTGTAAAATCACTGAGAGAGTTGGAGGGTAAAATAATTGGGTTTTTAAAGGTGTTTTACTGGTAGATTTAATCCACATAATATTAGAGTGAACCAGCAAAATAAATGACCCACTTTACTGATTAATCATGTAGAGATGGATTTCATGGTGGATGCAAGTCCAAAGAAGTGTAGCAGAGCCTTTCAGAGATTCACTTTGGCAAATATCTTGCCTTGTTATGTGCAGACTAAAATGCCTCTGATCATGTTGTTGGGAAGCAACTTGATCATAAGAACAACTTTCCAAACACCAAAATTGTTTAGGGCCTCAAATATAAGGTAGTAACTCTTTTATACTGTGTGTCATCTAGAGTAACTGGATATAGTCACTTTGTAATTACAAAGTGCTTTTTGCTCACACTTTGGATCCTACTCTTGAATTCAATGATTTCTAGTCACAATACAATCCAAAGACTAAGTCTATAGAAAGCAAGTGAGAAAAATTGGTATTGTTTGAATGGAGCTTACTTTTTTGCAAATATTCAGAACTTTCTTATTACATGAAACAGGAGAAACTAAAAAGTTTTAACTTACATTGGTGATTGGGATGGAGGAAAGGAGAAGTAGAAGAGCACACTCTTACCATAAACATGGAATGAGGTGATGTTGAAATTAATTCCATTCCATAAATTTAAAACCAGGTACTACAATTGCCCTCTGGTCTGGGTTTTGAGTATACCCTTGTACTTAAAAAATATTTTAAAAACCACAGGAGCACCTGCAATTCTCCTGAGCCAAACAGGCCTTGGAGCACAATAATAGAAGTTTATCCACTGGTAGTTTTTGTACCTTAAACCATCCATCTCCTCCATGTCATCTAGAGTGATCATGCCATCTCCAAGAAAAATGTATAGGAAACCATCTGGGCCAAACAGCAGCTGTCCTCCTAGATGTTTTCTATGTAGTTCTGCTACTTCCAAAAACACTCTTGCTGTCCTCATGTCAACTTGGTGTGGATTTTTCCTGCAAGTTAAAGATATGAACATAGTTTTCACAGTTCACTATCATTGTTCTTCTTTCTGAAAATACACTTGACTTATTCAAATTATACTTTGAGATGTGGATGTTGTAACTGGGTGGAAAAATGCCTAACAGTTATTTCTGAGAAATTTCAATTTTCTAGCATTCACAAACAATTACTTTGCTGCCTATACATAATAAGTAGGAAGTAATTATAATTAAAAATGACAGAATAACTGAAAAAATCTCAAAAAGAAAAAAAACCCCAAAACTCTGCACTTACTGTCATTCCAAAACTACTAATAAAATCCACAATAGTTTTTCTGCAGGTGCCCAAGTTTATACATTGTAAACCTCATATCCCTTTTAGAAATCAGAAATACTAGGGTGCAGAGGTTGCTGAGAAATACAGAGTTTGTTAATTTTAGACTTCTTACTGATACCTGGATACTGTGTACTCTACGACCCTAAGGATGTGGTCATGAGGTCCAATAGCCCACCGTTCTTGGTTGGTGGTATAAGACACATAGAGCTTTCCATTTTTCTTGTAATTGGGGTGGAATGCAAGGCTTAACAGTCCTCTTTCATCTCCTCCCTGCAGTCAAATGAAAAACACAAAGAATTGTGAAGTTAATTATGTTCTTTATTGTGTTTCAGCTGGAACCCAAAAAAAAAAAAAAAGTTTCTTTCTTGTGGATAATCTTTGCCCAAACTCTTTTATTTCTTTCCTGACTACTGCACAAAAAGGATTATAAAACATTTCACTTTGGGGAAGTCTTTAAGAGTTAGAACAAGACAATTGCCTTATGTAGTTATCTATGCACAAGTCTGCTACGCCACTTTTGTGGAGTGATTTGTGTACGTAATCTTTGGGAAGCCATGAAGACAAGTTTAAGTGCTGTGAAGGATTCTTTGCTGGGTTACTAGGTTGCTTGTAATTCGTAGAAGACGAATAAAAAGGTCTATAATCAGCAGTCACTTCTAATCCAAGTATCCAAAACCTAAAACACAGTGCTGGCTGCCAACTCCCACTGTCTTGGCAATATGTTTAGAAAACAGTTAAATTGCTTGTGTAATATGTAAACCTTTGTTTTACCCTGGAGGCAGCAACATCAGTTGTCACAACTATGGTGGTCTGTTCATCATAGCTGGTGTACTGTAGGTAATAAGCAGCCTTGGTCTGTGTGCAGAGAAACCATAGTTTTACATGTGGTCCTTCACTGGAAAGGGTTTTTGGGTTGTTTTTTTTTGTTTTTTTTTTTTTTTTTTTTTTTTTTTTTTTTTTTTTTTTTATATAGAAATAGAAAAATCTCAGAACAACTTGCTTTTGTTATTATGTTTGCCATGAAGATAGTACAGTTCTATATTAAACATCCAATCCATGTAATGTACTGTGACAATGCAAATACCCTGTCAACTTAAATAGAAGGCTGTTTTCTTTATGGCTACTAAAAAGCTTCTAAAAATGTATGTACTATTAATATGCCTGAAACTGTATTTGTATAAATGAAAAATAAAACTCAGAGTCATTTGTTGCTCTTGAGGCAGTACAGGGAGCGAAGCTGAGGCTCGGAAATAAACACAGCACATAGTTAACAATTCAAATTCAATTGATATGTGTGATTACCCACAAGGTGATAGATGTTTTGGGGTTTGACTCAGGACTTGCCAGCCCTTCAAAACTAGAACCAGTGACTGTTGTAGATTCAAGTTCTCCAGCTCTGCACCCATAAGGAGACAACGTTTTGCAACTCTAACCACACCCAAGATAAGTAATTATGAAATTTGAAATTATAAGATAAAATGAAGCTTTAAAATGTATTTGCACTTCAGAGTGATGGATGGGCCTGTCTTCCTGTTGAAAGTCATCCCACAAAGGGCCTAATTGGGAAAGTGCACAGCTTTAATTTATTTTAATTCAACATGATTGCCGTACTTCCTTTTTAATCACAACCACCAAAGGGAAACCTGAGTCAGAAATGGAGATGTAAATAGGTCAAGAGATTTCCATACAAACAGATTTGTACAATGAAATCTGGATCCTGCTAATTTAGAGGCAGACAAAATTTGCTAGTTTGTTTGCTAGAAAAATTTAGTTTCAGGGGGTTATCAGAGAGGTTAGTTTTGAAAGTCTAGTGAGAGCTGCCAAATCAGTTGCAGTCATCATGGATGAAGGGACTGCCAATCCAGCTCTTTCTCCTTTACGAGCCAAAAATAATTCTGCAGCTGAGTCTGAACTGATTGTAGATATTATTGTTTGAGTTTCTAAGAGCTTTGACCAAGTTGCTCTGATAAAGTCTGAAGCAAAGGGAGGCAAATCAGTTGCTTTGGGAACAGGAAGGCATATTTCAGAGATTCCTGAGGAATGATTCTATCTGTTGTGCCCAGACAAAGACAGTCCTATTTCTTCTCCTGAGAGATGAGTTCAGCTCATTTAAGGGCCCAGGAATGTCAGTGAGTCACTCTAGGTCTGCCATGCAAGGTGAGTTATTGAAAGTATTAGTAAGAAAAGATCTTTTTGTTACTGAGCTGAAGATTTTATTTAGTGCTTGATGCCATGGCAGCCATCTCAGTGTGAAAGCGAAGCTGTTGAAAGCATAAACAGGTGAAAATTAAATTAAGAGATTTTAATGAAGCACACATGAAGCAAGAATTTGAAAAATGAATGAAACACAGGACCTGCAAAGTAGTAACTATGGCAAGCTGCATTCGTAGGATCAGGATCATGACTTTTAGTCATTGCTGTCCTCCATGATTGTTAGAGAGCAGTGTGTCACTTCATAGATTGTTTCTATTGCTTCTTGAAAAGTCACACTGCAGTTTTTCAGAGTCAGATAGACACATTTTGTTCTAAAAAGTCTATTTACTCATGCAGTTAATAAAAACTTTGTGAATATCCCTCCAAGATACTGAAATCAGTGCAGCATCAAGCCATTAGTTGGCTCATGTTCAAGTAGAAATCCAGATGAGTTTTTCCATATTTAGTTTTCCTGGTTTTGGAAACTGATTCTTCATATGTATTTTCAACTTTATCACTAACTGGCAAACCTGTTCTTCCCAACCAAATCCCTGCCACAACTTCCATAGCTTTTAAAATGCCCTCTATGTGCCAGAAAGTATATAGTTTTCTGTAGTGTTGTCTCATATGCTGCGTGGTAAATGGAGAGATAACCCAGCAAAATCCCTTAGGAGTAGTAATTTTAGTACTATCAAATGGAATAATTATGAACAAAATCTCAGACCTTCTCTATAGAATATTCCTCTCTTTTATTTTTTTATCAAAGGACTTTCGATAGGAAGCCAGCATCCCAGGCTTTACACTCTTTCCTGTGGATACCATGTATCAAATCGGTGTATCTTTTTCTTGGCAGCTTAAAAGGTTATTGACATCCTTTTCTTTGAAAGCTTCCCTTTAGACGAAACCAGCACCAACAAACTGTAGATGACAAACCAGCTTGTATGAGATTCTGCACTGCACTATTTGATGGAATAACCATTAATGTTTGTCAGTTGTATAAGGAAGGGCAAGAAGAATGAGACAAATCTTTGTATTCCATTGGGATGTCTGTTGAAGACAAAGAATGATGGTTGGCTGAAATGAGTATTAATTACTTAAACATACTGTGGACTGGGGCCAATGTGAAATCTGTGTCGTAACTAAATCTGGCAGCTCCCACTTTTGATGACTGCCTGTGCTGCTCTGTAGCTTGAACGCTCCCCTCTCCTGTTCGTGGCTGTGACACCCTCTCTACCAAGAATACAAAATCAGTTTTTCCAAAACTGATTTCCTTGGGCCAGGAACCTCAGACCTTTAAACCCCAGTTTGGTTTAGTTTAAGACCACAGCCATGAAAATAATTTAATCATAATTCCATAAAGTCAGTATAAAGCCAAGTAAACATTAAAACAAAGTGTTTCTGTATTTTTCATTTTTAAAGGGCTGTTTAGCTACGTTATGTCAGTTCTGAAAGTATATTGCAGCAGTATGTATTCTCAACTGAAGGATATTTTTGATAGTTCTTTTTGCATTGTAATTTCTGCTATAATATATTTACACTTGTAAAAATGTTAAATAAGTGCACAAAATTATCCACTTCGTATTTTGACCTAACACAAAGAGAAGTAACTTGCCTGTGAATACTGGATGTAAGGCATGTGAATACTGGATTTTTATAGAATGGTGCTATTTTCATGTAACCACTCCTTAGTTGGGCTCTGCTTCCAATTTGCGTGCTTTCAAATGTACTCTGGTATACCTCTGGTATTATAGACAGAAGTTTTATTATATTATTAAGACATTATACTTTTTCTATAATTCAGAAACATATGCTGCACTTATTTTTAAGACATGCTGCCATTTAATTATGTCAATATATGTGTTATTACATATAGTAAACACAGAGAAACACACAGGAATGCTTTAACTGGTATTTTAGATTATTTAATTTAAAATAGATCATATTGTAAGTATGACCCTTAATTACACATCCTTAGTAGTAATTAATGCTAGTAAGCAAAACCAGACGTGACCATTTATTTCCATTACTCTGTGTGGTTTAATAGTAAACAATGTAGGTAGCATATTCCAAGTTTTCCTTTAAAATTGATTTTGAAATGCACTCTTTATATAATACTTGTAAAATAATGGTATTTATACTTAACAGTATTAAGATGATGGGTGTGTATATATATATAAATATATATATATATATATATATGGTATGTAATGGTATTTATACTTCACTTTTTGCCTGGACAAACTCACTCTCATGCTGGAATGGAGTAACAACTTTTTTAAAAAGGGGTTGTGCTTAAAATACGCAAATTCAACACCCAATATTTTAACTCTAATATCTTTATATCTTTTTATTTTTTTCATCTATTCTTATAGCACAAATGCTGGGTAAGTTGCTGAAGTAATATAATCACCTTTAATTTAGCTTATTTCCTATGTAATAAATAACATAACCAATATACCTTACCAAATGTTTGATCTTAAGGAGTTTTATTTGTAAAAAGCATGGGTGAAGGGTAAAATCTCTTATCAGGCAGCACCATCTGAACTCTTCAGAACGAGATGCAGGAGGGCTCAAGATCAGTGTCAGGTATTCTTCTCAGTGGGAAGTGTTTGCTTAATTGCCATGTTTTGGAAATTTGGCCCCAGCACAGGACAGAAACGTGACTCCAGCAGAAGCAGAAGCCTGCCCAGGTCTGCCGCAGGGGTACAGCCTGCCCTTCCAGCTGCACCACCTATTCTGAGCTCCACAAGAGGGAATTGCCCCTGACTGGTGGAAATACAGCAAACAGGGAATGAAAGGAGCAGAAGCTGTCTGGGCTGCAGGAGCAGAGCTCCGATGAGACTCTTGGGTGTTGAGGACTCCAGTGCTTTGCTATCTGTGGGGCCTGAGGCCTCTGGCAAGGGAAGGATTTGTAACATAAGACATTCACCTTAGGGGAAAATAATTACACTGATGTCATGGCTCAGTATGGGCTACATACTAGACCCTATCTCCAAAGCATTTCCTTTTTCCTCTTGTGTTGCAGAGCTTCACTTTTTTCCTTGTTGATAAAGGGCTTTGCAGTTATCTAAGGATTT